CCAGCAATGGAAAAACCAATTCTTTTAAGACCTCTTTTGGGAATAATCAAGGATCAAAAAGATTTTGAGGGAGAAAAAAAGCCCCTCCATGCTATTTCACAGCGGCTGTTAACCACGGAAAAGGAGAAAATTCGATGTCACGGGATTCAAAAGTAGGCAACTTTGAATACAGTTATAATAAAAGGCGCATAAGGGCTGACATAAAGTCATTTACCCTAACTGTAAATGAAAAAAAAAAAAAAGAAACACCTTTTATAATGGAAAAAAAAAGAATTTCTAAGAAATAACACATTTCCACTCACCAGTGATATGCAAAGTACAACAAAACAGAATGCAATCACAGCGACCAATGGAATGAGGTATTTCACCAGGTCGTAATAGCCAGGAATAGCACGCAATGCCGTGACATACCTGTAACCCAAACAAACAAATTGCTGCAGTAGCAAATATATGTGAATAAAAATAAAGTAAGGAAAAAACAAGCATTCAAAAATAGCAAAATAAGTACACACAGGAAGAAATCAAAATTATTTATGTAAGCATATATACGTATATATACTCTTTCTCTTTGCTGTTGTCTCCAGTTCTTGCCTCGAATTCCTGACTAACATCTTTGTTTCCCTCATCTATTAAGTCAACCGACGTACGTATGCATATAAATATAACATATATACATATACATATATATATATATATATATATACATACATATATACATGTATATATATATACACATGTATAAATATACTATATACATTTAACAATAAAAATTAGGAAAGCACATTTTAATTTATTGTTTTGTACACATCTTATCCTAGTACCACAACTAGACCTCATCAGTACAACGGTTGTGGAACAATTTATATTTTCATATAAAATAGAAAAACGTTTCTAGCCAAAGAATCCTCTTATAATGTTCTAACAGTGGCAGTTTTCGCGATAATGTGGTAATGCTCAACACACATCAAGGACATCTTAAAACAACCAGAGCCTAACGAAATTTGCTTCTGTTTGGAGAACCACTGAATTGGTAATCCCTTCAGGAGAAGGGCGCTGGTCACTAAGTGGTCACTAAGCGATGTAGTACACAGATAAAATTAACTAGAAAAGTTTCCATAGTGTACAGTCGAAGAAAAATACCATGAATTTCGGCTGAACCACGTGTATTTCCAGTATTTAACCCCAGGAGATCAATGGTGCTCACCCTTTATCGGCCGAAAAGCGACCCATCATATTCGACATGCAAACATGGCTGACCATTACGACCGGTATCAATACACGATCAGCGTACTTACTCCCAGCCATTGGTACTGGCACATGGCCTTCATCGTTATAGATTATAAGGGCACTAAAGGCTTCTGGCTTTCCACGCTGAGCGTGATAGGCCTGAAAATAGCAGGGTAAGAGCCAAAATTCTGCCCTGTATTTCATTTTTAGAAGAAACGGACGCAGTTTTGGATGATGACACTCACAGTTAAAACATCAATAATCACCTGTTAGCAAGACTGTCGATGGCTTCCTCTTTCAAGGACTGCTTCTCTGTACTTACTTGAATACTTGAGCAGCTGTATGTCACCGACATTCGATGTCACGCCATCGATGCAGCACTGGCAATTTCTCCATTCAACACGTTCTTGCGCTCTCCGAGACTACACTGCACAGGTGTACCATGGAGTCTCTTCACCTCACTGGTGGCCTCCCCAGTGTTCACTTGATCGTGCACAGATACCATTCCATTATCCGCTTTGTCCATCTATTATCTGTCATTTGTGCCACATGACCACCAGCCTATCTCTTCCTGCTCGCGTACACTGCTTCGACAATGTCTTTCATGCCAGATCTGACTCGGAGCAATTCACTGGGAATGTGCTGCAGCCTGTTGGTGCCAACCAGCAGGCTGCAGCACATTTTTCTTAATAAAACTAGAAAAAAAAATCTATTTTCATGGCATAATACATAGCGAAGGGTCGTTTTTTCTTTTTTAGAAAAACTAAAGTAGTTCTTTAGAAAAAAAAAAAACCCTGAACCAAAGCAATTTCTTTTAAGTTCATTTTCAAAATTCTTAACTGCAACGTATTATTTATGATGGTCCTACTCTTACCGTTAGGAAATCTCGTCCTGATCCAGAAACGACAACGCTTCAGAGGAGATGGTGATGCTCAAAATACATCAAAAAGAGCTCAAAACGGTTAAAGCTTAGCTAAGTTCTTCTGTAACGAAAACCGCGATAATCCCTTTCAAAGGCAAAATCAAAATCCAGATCGCTAGTAGGAGGCAAATCAGCAAACGATGCAGCAGCACTGGTCAAAGCAAAGCTGCTAGCTTCATGGCTCTGCAGCTAAATTAACAGATGATCCCATAGATGGTTATAAAGGGAGGAGAGGAGGAAGACCAAAAGCGGCGCAGGCATCGGTGCTGCAAAAGCCCGGGCCTAAAGCTAAAACAAAAGTAAACTAAAACCTAAAGTAACTCTAAATTAAAGTAACTCCAAGAAGCAATGTTAAAACTCTATTCCCAGTTTTTGCATTGTTCCAGGGTAGGAGAGGACTCTTCTCCCCACCTCTCGTTGCCCCTCCCCCCTCCCCCTCGCCCAGTCCCAGGAGTCCGTCTTGGAACCAGTCCAAGTATTCCAATTATAAATTTTCATGATAGCATAATACGATTACATAAACCTAATGCGCATTGTCATATAAAATGCATACCTTTTCAGAAAAGCTGCAATTACCACGAGGTACAACTGCATAATAGTTGTTGCATCCCGTGCGATTGTTCTGAAAATACATAGTTTTGGGCAGTAAGTAGATTGTAGCAACCAGGTTGACCTTAGAAGGCACGACAGATTACAATATGAGAAAAGGAAGTGAGAGTGAGATAAGACGTTTCGATAAATTTCGGAACCACTTATGATGGGTGATCCGTGTCAGCAGTAGAATAAAAGGACTGGACTTAGGTGTCATGCATAGAAGACATTTTACAATAGTATAGAAGACATTGCCTGTATTTCATCCCTTAGCTGTAAACACAAACCGAATTATGTATGCGGATAGGAGTGGGAATCATCAGTACAGCCTCCTACTGGCGATGGTATTGAACAGCTATGTAACTTATTTGCAAGAGAGATAAGCGAAATGTAGTCGACAGAAGTGCAACAAAAAAAACCTACAATTGTATCCTCGCACGAATCTTCGGGTGAGGTAAAATACGAACAACCAGTAGCATTAGCACCAGGAACCTGTGCCGATATATCGCCACCAAAATCGGCACCTGTCGCATCGCACTGTAGCACTGTATGAAAGCCACCTGCTTTACGCTCCCACTGAAACAGAAAAAAATTTCTCTAGTTTGCGGGAACTATAAATACCAATTAAAGGTTAAAAGAGAATATAAGAGAAGGAAATGATGAAAA